AAGAGGGGGAGGCCTTCAACGAGATGGATTGACACGGTGGCTGCGATGATGGGCTCAAGTATAGCAGGGATTGTGGGGCTGGCACGGGATCGGGCAGTGTTTCATTCTGCTGTGCATGGGGTTGCTATGAGTCGGAAACGACTCAACGGCACTTAACAACAACAACAACATTGAGCTTTTCCATCACCTCTTGCCACAGATACAGTCAATCTGATTCCTGTGTACTCCATCTGGTGAAGTCCAAGTGTATAGCCACTGTTTGTGTTCTTGAAAAAAGGTATTTGCAATGAATAAATCATTGGTCTTGCAAAATTCTATCATGCGATCTATCTCCAGCTTTATTTCTATCACCAAGGCCATATCTTCCAACTACCTGTGATTTGTCTTTGTTCCCAACTTTTGCATTCCAATCACCAGTGATAATCAGCACATCTTGATTGCATGTTCGGTCAATTTCAGACTGCAGAAGTTGCTAAAAATCTTCAATTTCCTCATCTTTGGCTTTGGTGGTTGGTGCATAAATTTGACTAATAGTAGTATTAATTGGCCTTCCTTGTAGACATCCAGATATTATCCTATCACTGACAGCACTGTACTTCAGGATAGATCTTGAAACATTCTTTGTGATGATGAATGCCATGCCAATCCTCTTCAATTTGTCATTCCCAGCATAGTAGATCATATAGTTGTCTGATTCAAAATGGCCCAAACTGGCCTATTTCAGCTCACTAATGCCTAGGATGTCAATCTCTTACGCGTTACATTTCATTTTTAACAACTTCCAATTTTCTTGGATCATACTTTGTACATTCCATGTTCCAATTATTCATGGATGTTTGCAGTTGTTTCTTCTCATTCTGAGTCATGCCACATCAGCAAATGGAGGTCTCAAAAGCTCTACTTTATCCATATCATTAAGGTTAGCTCTACTCTGATGAGGCAAGTCTTTCCTAGTCATATTTTGAGTGCCTTCCAACCTGAGGGGCTCATTTTCATAAAGTTGTCCTGTAATATGTCAGTATTTCACTACTATTCGTAAGGTTTTCACTGGCCAATTCTTTGAGAAGTGGATGGCCTCTTCCTTCTTCCGAGTCTGTCTCTGTCTGGAAGCTCTGCCGAAACACAGCCATCATGGGCAACCCTGCTGCCACAGCCTCCAGCCTCACAGCAACATGCAAGCCACCACAGTACAACAAACAGACAAATTCATCTCCCTGAGCTGTTCCAACCGCTTCACTCACTTCCTGGCCTTCCCCCTACCTGTCCCAGCCACTGGCCCTGGCTCCTGCTTCCTGCCTGGGGGCTCTCCACTTCTTATGCATCTATTTACTTAAGCATTTATGCTGGCAATCTTTCCATGTTGGTATATAAAGTGCTGCCTCATTGGATTTGATGGTTGCACAATGTTGTATTGATGGCTAGTCTATCATTTATTTAACAGTCCCTGTTGTTGTTATGAAGGGATTAGACAAAATGATCTCTAAAATCTCTTGGCAATAACCAACTCTGTGGCATGTCTATACACATACACTCAAGGTCTTGAGAACAGTTTCTTCAGGTTGCACAAGGAAAAGGCCTTCATGACGTGTGATAGAGTCCATATCCCCACAGACACCCTGTCACATAAACCTGGGTGTGTGCTCTCCTCAGGACCCTCAGAGGCCACTACAGTGACACAGTAAGGTTGCACTAAAAAGCCGAAGTGAAATTTGTCATAGATCAGTCTTTGCCCTTAAGGCCAATAATCCTAGACCCCACTAACTCCAACTTTGGCATGATTCAAATGGGAACGAGGCTGTATTTTTCTTTTGTACAACGGAGAAAGGATTCCTTAAGCAATTAATACTTTTAGTAGTGAAAACATTCTGCCTGGAATCTTGTTCACAAATTACTTCCAGGCATCTTAGAAGTACCCTTTATTCTAATAAACATACAAACAAAATAATTCTACTCTATGTCGTCCAGTAAAACTTTCTGCCATGATGGAAACGTTCTATAACTATGCTATCCAATATGGTAGCCTCTAGCCACATGTCTGTTTAAAATTAAAATTAAACAAAATTAAAAATTCAGTTCCTGTCATATCAACCATATTTCAAGTGTTCAATAGACACAGGTGACTAGCAGCTACTGTATTGGACAGTACAATGACAATACCTGTGGTTTTTCAAGTTACTAAATGTAACCCAAAAGCAGTAACATGCTAATATTTTAAATATACTTAATAATACAAACTTTTCACAGATGTAATGTAAACCAATAGCCTCTTTGGAAATTTTTTATGGTTATATTTTAGAGCAATTCATGAAAACAATTTTTTTAAACCTTTTTTTCTGCAGGGACATGTTTCAAAATCTTTAAGTACAGAAAAGTATAAAGTGAAATGTCAATTCCCCCTCTTTCCCTCTGCTCCTACTGCTCCCATCCACCCCACAGGGAAATGTACTTGTGGACTGTACATGTGTGAACTTGGTGTGTTTGTGTGTGTCGGTGTGTTTGTTTACTACACACAATGCCTGTAGTATGTGCAATGCTCTGCACCTTTTTCACTTAAGCATCTATGTCAGCAATCTTTCCACGTTGGTATTTAAAGTGCTGCCTCATTCAGTCTGATGGCTGCACAGTGTTGTACTCATGGCTATTCAATCATATATTTAACCAGTCCCTGTTGTTGTTGTTAGGTGCTGTCGAGTTGGCTCTGACTCATAGTGACTCTACATACAACAGAAAGAAACACTGCCTGGTCCTGCACCAGCCCCACAGTCCTTGCTGTACCTGAGCCATCACTGCAGCTACTCTGTCAATCCACCTCGTTGAGGGCCTTCCCCTTTTTCACTGACCCTCTACTTTACCAGTCCCTACTAATAAGCATTTAGGTTGTTTCCAGTCATTTGCTACCCAATCTATAATGAAGATGCTAGTACATGCATCCTTTAACATGCATGAGTATAAGTGCAAAATAAACAGAATTACTCAAAGAATATACTTTTGTGATTTAGAAAAATAGGATGAAATTGCCCAATACGGAGATTGCACCAGCTCACACTACAACAACAATGTATGAATGGACCCACTGCTTCCCCCTCACGCAGCATGTCAGTTCCCTTTTCAACTAAGACGACCAACTTTTGATATAAGGAATAATACAGGACTCCAACTCGTTTTATCCAGATGGCTACCCAGTTGTCCACTTACTGAGTAATCAATGAAAATATTACTTTTAAGCACTATAAACTTTTTAGTTTTTGGATAGTATTCAAATGTCTTAGCAGTCCTGGTGGCACACCAGGGTTAAAGTGCTCAGCTACTAACCAAAAGGCCAGTAGTCTGAACCCACCAGCCACTTGGTGGGAGAAAGATGTAGCAGTCTGCTTTCATGAAGACTGCAAACCCTCTGGGGCAGTTCTCTGTGCTAAAGCGTTGCTGTGAGTTGGAATCGACTTGACAAGCAGTCGGTTATTCAAATGTCAAAATTTCAGTTTAAAAGGCTGAGGTTATATTTTCCAGGAAGATACCTATTAACACCCAGGATCTGGATAACAGCTTTTATGTCAACATACCAGTATCACTATGGCAGATATCAAAAACACAATGATTGTGAGAAAATAAACTGAGTTAAATTCTGTTTCTCTCTCCTGATAGGAAAAAAGAGTGCTGAGCAAGGCCTAGAGATGTCAAGGTTACCAGTGTTCTCACTCAAGGAAAAAAGTTACATTAAAGGCACATCGGATTTCTTGGGATTAGGTCATTTTACTACTCGGTATATCACAGAAAGGAACCACCCCTCCCACCAGGGGCCCAGCTACCAAAACGATCGTGATTTAGTGGAACTGGTTGATCCAAACTGGCCAGATCTGGGATCCAACTGGCTATATTCTGTGCCTTGGGGTTTTAGGAGGCTCCTCAACTTTGCTCAGGTGATTATCACATTAAGCTATGTAGGGGACATTTTTTAACTTAATTCATGTTTTTATAGCTTAAGCTCAGGTATCTACAGTTCAAAATTAATAGCTGATAAAACAATAAATCTGGTCACTCATACTTCAGAGGCTACTGAACAGACTTTACAGACTAACACCTACTATGAGTAACCATTTCTATACATATAACTTTAGCAAAAATTGTTATTCCACATTTAATTATTTTGCTTTTTTTTTTTTTTTTAAATCTGAAATGGAATACGTGGGAGATGATAAGACCTGAAGTACATTTCCTCTCCAATGATGCTGATTTACTGAGCACTATATTCTTTCATATGAACTAGGTTTCTGCCTACATTCATCTATAAATAAACATGTTTAATAGCATAGAATACTAAATACATTTAATTAGAATATGGCAGGCTTGGGTATGTGTTCCCATATGTGCCTCTGACTCAGTAATTCACCTAAAGTCAGAATTTTTTAAGATCTTCTTTACTGTGACTCACTTTCAGACTCAATATGTTGATCCTCCCATTTATGTGACACAAAATGGAGCTTCTCAAAAATTACATTGTACTCAATTATGTGATCAGTGGAGAATACAATACCTTAAAGGATACATAAATGAAATGCTAAAAGGTGAGTTACAGACAAGTCTGCCTTCATTTTTTTTTTTTAAATTTAACTCAGATCCATTCCTGTTGAGTCAATTCTACTCCGTCCTACAGCAAACCTGGAGGACAGAGTAGAACTGCTCCAAAGGGTTTCTTTCCAAAGCTGTAAGTCTTTAAGCAGAATGCCACATCTTCCTCCCGTGGAGCAGTTAATGGGTTTGAACCACCAACCTTTGCTTAACAGCTGAGTGCTTAACCACTGAGCCACCAGGGCTCTTTCTTAACTTAGAGGAAACTTGATAACACACATGTTCAATTAAAACTTGTTTCTATACATCAAAAATGAAAACATTTTAATATACATAAATATCTTTGCAGCTATAAAAGATGGTGCTAATATAAGAGGGTATACTTCCTGGTCTTTGTTGGATAAATTTGAATGGGAGAAAGGATATTCAGAGAGATACGGATTCTACTATGTTGAATTTAACAACAGAAATAAACCTCGCTATCCAAAAGCTTCTGTTCAATATTACAAGAAGATTATCGCAGCCAATGGATTTCCCAATCCAAGAGAGGTAGGAGTAATTATTGATGTTACTCATTCTGGATTTTAGAGGAGGTAGGCAGTCCGGGTGCAGAGAGTATGGCAAGCACCTCCCGTCTTTCCCCAGGAAAGAAGATAGGGGTATACAGGAAGCATGGCCTTTTTCTCTTCCCGTAACTCTTACTACCACCTTTGTACTCATTTGCTTAGGATGGAGTAGGAATGCCTTAAGATTCAAGTGCTAACATGTTGAACATGAAGAGTATTATTAGGGATTATGCAAGAGTCTTGTGTGCTTTAAGTTATAATGGGACAAAGTGAATAGAGATATCTAGTTAAATGCTATTCTTAATCCTGTGTCTTGATACAATCAAATACTACTCTTCAACATTTTTAAAAACACTTAAATAAATCAAACGTACAATGGCCATATAATTTTCATCTTTTCACATCAAATAGTAAAGCCATACAATTGCACTGGTTACCAAAAAAATCTCACGACATCCAATCAATTCTGATTCATAATGACCCTACAGGACAGAGTAAAACTGCCCCATATGGTTCCAAGGCTGTAAATCTTTACAGAAGCAGACTGCTTTATCTTTCATCCATGGAGTGCCTGCTGGGTTTGAACTGCCGACCTTTTGATTAGCAGCCAAATGCCTTAACCACTGTACCATCAGAACTCCTTTCTGGCTACAAAAGGAGATTAAAAATAATCAAACTTAATAATCCTTTAAAACCTACCAAAATTTTTCTTTATCTTCCAAATTTTTCCACCAGCTATTTTCTATCTATGTTACTAGAAGTAATAGCAACAAAATATAAATTGAAATTTAGAATGTCTTATTTAAAATAATCTTTTAAAATAAATCTTACTCATTTGCCAAAATTCTAGGTTGACACCAGCAGTACTATAAATGAAAGCAGTGACTGTTGGCTATCAGGCATTCATTAGTTCTACACCATTAGGAAAGCACTAGATTATAAGCCCTCAAGAATAAAGCCTCTGTCATCAACTCTCTGTCAATACTGCCATAAGTGTTCAATAAATATTAGCTGATTTAAACTGCAGGCAGATTGTTAAGAATATTTATTTTTGCCTTGTTTTATTCCAAAATTGACTCCAAACAGGAAAAAAAATTAGTCTAAGACAACATTACTTATCAAGTGGGTTTTTATTAGGTGAGAAGTTGGTACCTTGAAGCCTTAGAAACTTGCTCTATCAACAATCAAATGCTTGCTGCAGGTAAGTATATTTTAATTCCTCCCTTCAGTAATTAACCCACATAATTTTATATATATATAATGACATTACCAAAATCTTAAAATGTGAATACCTAAAGTCAATCTTCCAAAATGACTTATGATTAATAATGAATTTTTTTTTTTACTTTGAAGCAATACCAAATTTCTCTATGTAAAGAAGATTGGAATAGAAGGGAAATTCCTCAATATGATTCAGGGCATATAGGAAAAGTGAACAGCCAACATGATACTTAAAGAAAAAAATGATAAGCTTTCCCTTTGAAATCGAGAATAAGATAAGGGTCCACTCACACCACTTCTACTCAATACCGTTTTAGAAATGAGACAAGAAAAGAAATAAAAATTATTCAGATTGAAAAAGAAGTAAAATTATCTCTACGTGAAGATATGATCCTATTCCTCAATATGATTCAGGGCATATAGGAAAAGTGAACAGCCAACATGATACTTAAAGAAAAAAATGATAAGCTTTCCCTTTGAAATCGAGAATAAGATAAGGGTCCACTCACACCCTTCTACTCAATACCGTTTTAGAAATGAGACAAGAAAAGAAATAAAAATTATTCAGATTGAAAAAGAAGTAAAATTATCTCTACGTGCAGATATGATCCTATGTATAAAAGATCCCAGAGTTCACAAGAAAACCTCTAGAGCTAATAGAGGAAATTAGCAAAGTTGCAGGTAAAAAGTCAACAAAAAAAAATCAGATGGATTTTGATACACCAGCAAGGAGAAATCTCAAAGAGAAATCAGAGAAATAATTCATTTACAATAGCATCTAAGAGAATACCAGGGACTTTAAGGATTTATACAAAGAAAACTGTAAAACATTGCTGAAAGAGATTAAAGACTTAAAAAAATGGAAAGATGTTCTATGTTTATGGATTGGAAGATTTAATATTGTTAAGACAGCAATACTACCCAAAGTGATCTACAGATTCAACACAATATTGATCAAAATTCCAACAGCCTTCTTTATAGAAAGAGAAAAACCAATCCTCAATTAAATATGGAAAGGCAAGAGGCCCTGAATCGTTAAGCAATGCTAAAAGAGAAGAACAAAGTAGGAGGATTCATACTTCCTGATTTTAAAATACACTATACAGCTACAATAATCAAAACAACCTGGCACTGGGATAATAACAGACACACAGACCAATGGAATACAATTGAAAGTCCAGAAATAAACATATACATCTAAGGTCAATTGATTTTTGACAAGAGTGCTAAGTCCATCTGATAAGGAAAGAAGAGTCTCTTTCATAAACAGTGCTGGGAAAATTGGAATCCCAAATGCAGAGAAATGAATCAGGATCCTTGCCTCACACCATATAAAAAACAAACTCTAAATGGCTTAAGGACCTACAGGTGCAAACTAAAACCATAAAATTCTTAGAAGAACAAGCACTGTCAGGCCTAGCTTTCAGCAATGGATTATCTAATATAATAACAAAAGCACAAAAAGCAAAAGACAAAATAAATTAATGTGACCTCATAAAAATAAAAAAAATGTTTGGTCATCAAAAGATTTTACCAAAAAAAAAAAAGAAAAGACAAGCTATAGACTGGGAGAGTATCTTCAGAAACCATATAGCCAAGAAGAACCTAATAGGCAAAATATATATAAAACTTAGACAATTTAACCATAAAAAGACAAATACAGGCATACTTCATTTTATTCCGCTCTCCTTTACTGCACTTTGTGGATACTGTGTTTTTTTCACAAATTGAAGGTTTGTGGTAAGCCTGCACTGAGCAAGTCTACTGAAGCCATTTCTCTAACAGGATGTGCTTACTTTGTGCCTCTGTGTCACATTGCAGTAATTCTCACAATATTTCAAAATTTTATTTCATAATGCTATTATACACTAAATAGACTATAGTATAAACATAACTTTCGTATGCACTCGTAAACCATTAAATTCATGTGACTTTTTTTATTGCAATATTCACTTTACTACAGTGACCTGGAACTGAGCCTATAGTATCTCCAAGATATATGCCTGTAACCCAATCATAAAATGGGCAAAGGACTTGAATAGACGTTCTATCAACGAAGACATTCAAATGGCCACCAAACACATGAAAAGATGCTCAGTGTCCTTAGCCATCAGAGAGATGCAAATCAAAACCACAATGAGATAGATACCATCTCACTCTCATTAAGATGGGGAAGAAGAAAAAAAATGGTGAGGATGTGGGGAAACTGGAACCCTTTTCCACTGCTGGTGGGAATGCAAAATGGTACAGCTGTTGTAGAAAACAGTGTGGCTATTCCTCAAAAAACTAAAAATAGAACTATCATATGACCCAACAATTCTATTCCTAGGCATATACCCAAAAGACTTAAAAGCAGACACTCAGAGACTTGTACACCAATGTTCATTATTAACAATGAACTAATCACAACAGCCAAAGGTGGAAACAACCTAAATGCCCATCAACAGATGAATGGAGAACAAAATGTGGTACGCATATACATACAATGGAATACGACTCAGCCAGAAGGAGAAATAAAGTTTTGATAATGCTACAGTATGGACAGAGTTTGAAGACATTATGCTGAATAAAATAAGTCAATTACAGAAGGAAAAATAATGTATGACTTCACTTATATAAAAAGACAAGAAAAGGCAAATGTATAAAGACCAAAGCTTACTTGTGATTACCGAAGGCAAGGAAGGAGGGTGAAAAGGGAGTTAACGGTGAAGGAAATATCACATTAATTAAGGGTAGGGTTGCACTGCCAATAATTCCTATCAATAAATTGTGTACCTATAAAAAGTTGAATTGGCAAAAGTTGTACAATAGATATATTTACAACAATGACCAGAAAGTCCTAATTTGTTGCATAGCACTTGTAAGCAGCAATCCCAGGCATAACAAGTGATCTCCATTCACTTGGAGTAGCAGAGGAAGGAGAGTCGGGCAAAAGAGGAGGATACAGAATGTGCGGCTAACTGCCTCCATGAACAACTATCTCCTTTGCCATGAGACCAGAACTGGATGGTACCTGGCTACCATTATGGAGCATTTTGTTTAAAAATTCTAAAGAAGAATCCTGAGTAAAAAGGGAAAAATGCAGACCAGATTTCAAATTCCCATGGACTCTAGACTTTCTGGAGCCATGGAGGGCAGATGAATCCCTGAATCTACTGCCCTAAGACAATCTTTAAATTTTAGACCAAAACTATTCCCTTAAAAACTGAACAATGGTTTAGATTAACTTGTAAAACAGCATTACACTCTTTTAAGAACTATCTATATGGGATCAAACTGACAAGAGCAACTTGAAAGATTACATAAGGAACCTTAGGGGACAGTGAGTTTGTGTTAATGAGGGAGGAAGAACTGGAAAAGGAGGGTGAGAATGCTTGCATAACTTGAAGAATGTCATCAATGTCACTAAATGCTACATGTAGAGACTGTTGAATTGTATGTTTTGCTGTATATATTCTTAATGACAAAATACATAAAATTTGAAGGAAACAAAAAAACAGGGAGAAAAAAATTATATATATAAGCATCTTAGATAATATAAAAAAGACTACCATGAAAGATTTTATCCACTCTAGCTTTATTCTTTCTAAAAACTACTATAAATTTATAAGTCTACTATTTTTATTACACTGGGCTTTGTGGAAGGAAACGAGAATTCAACTATTATACTAAATGGAATGTAAAAAAGTCAAAGAACACCCCAGATACTCACTCATTCAATAAGCAATCATTAAGCATTCACTATTTAGCAGGAACTATTTTAAGCCCTAGGAGCTCTGGTAGTATATGTAGTACCTAAGGCACTTGACTGCTAACCAGAAGGCTGGTGGTTCAAACCCATCAGCCACTCCTCGGTAGGAAGGTTGGGCAATCATACTTCTGTAGTGATTCCGCCTACAGAAGTAGGATTGCGGAAACCCAAGGAAGGGTCACTATGAGTCGGGCCGACTTGCTGGCACATAACAACAATATTTTAACCCCTGAGGAAATGCAATGAGCAAAACAAGCTCCTCCTTCATCAAAGGCATCATTTCTTATGCAATGGGATCCAAAGGCAACTATGCAGCAAGAAATGCTCACATATATAATTTTCTTTGAATTTTATCTTTAATTCTGCATAAGTATATAGCTCCTGTTCTAACAAACTTGTCTTCAATGTGGTATCAGATGTGGAAAGTGCTAGACCAAATCCTACCAATTCAGCTATTTTTACAGGCTAGTATACTGTCAGTCCCCAATCTAAACTAAGAATATATAGTCCATTAAGTTAAAATAAACTTAATGTAGAGACGTACTGTAGAATTTACTGTTAAGCCTATAAACTCCTGTGGCTTATTTATCTTGGTAATCAGAGTGCTTGGCACAAAATCTAAAAGCAAGTATTACACAAATGTCCATAGTATATTAATGCACACAAAATATGCTTATCATTTGATTTCGGAAGATTATTATTTAACTATACAAGAATGGCCATAAAAAATTCAACAGAGAAATTCCTATACCTCTGAAGATACACAATAACATCTTTAAAAGGCTAGAAATTTTTCCCACGGATTTACCTTTCACTATTCCTCCCAATGAAAATTTGATGATGCCATTTTTCAAGTTTTTCCAATATGGTTAAAGCTTTCGGGATGAAGTTATATTTGCTAAAATGTTCTCTTTGCCATTTTAGAGCCATTGTTAAGTCACATGCAAATGGTTACAGAGATTGTGGTACCCACGGTCTGCACGCTCTGCATACTCATCGCTGCAGTTCTACTGATGCTCCTCCTACAGAGGCAGAGTTGAGATGGGATCGCCAATCTTCCACTCAACTTCACAGAGAATCTTCAGGATCTTCCATTTTTCTACTTTGAAGGTTTACATACATTTCTGTTTCAGGTTCTAGGATAAGCACCATCCTTTTTCTTTCTTTCATTTTCTTCTTTTTTATTGGTGGCTTGTGCTGGGACTTAAGAATTAGAAAACAAAAATTAGCATAAATAAAATAAAAATCACTTATGATCTCATCCATTACAAAATCAATGTTAATATTTTGGTGTATATTATGCACCAATTTCCATATAACAAAAATTGAATCATAGTGTAAAACTGTTTTGTGTCTTGAGTTTTTCATTTTTAACATCTGTCCATAAATATTACTTTAATGTACAAGTGACTACCATCTCAGCACTGTCCTATACATGATTTTAAAAAAAACCACTGCCATCAAGTTGATTCCAACTCATAGCAACCGTACAGGACAGAGTAGAACTGCCCCACAGGATTCCAAGGCTGTAAATATTTACAGAAGCAGCCTGCCACATTTCTCCTACAGAGTGGCTGATGGGTTTGACCTGCCGACCTTTTGGTTAGCAGTCAAGTGCTTAACCACTGCACCACCAAGGTTCCTCCTATACATGATAGAGTCAATCATCTACAGCTAACAATTCTTTCAGGTTGTAAATCCTATTATCCAACCAGGGAAAAAGCATTAGGTGGATACCAAGTAAATGAGCACATACACTTTTCTGACATAAATTTTTCTTGTACTAAATTCAACTCCAGAAAGAAGGCTGGGCAATCTACTTCTGTAGTGATACCGCCTCGGAAACCTAAGGAGGGGTCACTGTGAGTTGGTCGGGTCAACTTGACAGCACATAACAACAAATTCAACTCAGTTTACTCAGTGAATTATCTCAAAGAAATATTTTATGACTATTTAAGATTATGTATTTAATTTATATATCCTCTCTGTAATTATATATATATATAAACTCACTGCCGATATCCATTTTATTTTTAACTGCATAAAATACTAAAATGAACTAATTCCCATTTGTTTGGGGACAAAACACAACTAAACAAAGAATGATAGTATCAAGCATTACACTCATTATTTGATTCTCTTTGATGTTATTTCCAAAACACAAAAATAGTAAGATAATAGTAAATGTTAATTAATTATTTTGGTTAATATTCTCTCAAATCAAAACATTTTTAAAAGGTTATTTATATGTGGGGCTTAGTGCTATGATTGGGCTGGGGTAAAATTGTTTCTAACGAAACTTCTCTTGCAAAGTCAAATCAATATACTTGTTCAGGGTTTTTTGTTCCATCAGTGTTTTTAAAATCAAATTTCTTTCTACTATATTTACAGATTTAAAGTGCAAAAATATTACCACTCAGGTTTTTTTTTTTTTTTTTTTCATTTCTCTGGTTTTAGGATTAAACTGACCTATTAACTTGACTACAAAAGATAGAAAGGAAATTAAAGACTGTACTGCTTAATTACATCTGATAAGCCTTTTATGTGATTATTGGTAAACAATCAATATTCTTAATATATTACATTGGTGTTTATTTTGTAGAAGGAACTAAAACACAAAGTACTTAATACATTATAAAATACTTGGAGAGAACAAAAAGTGAACATAAATACCTTACAGAAAACCCCATCAGCACACTTTACTTGAAATGCACCTGGCTGCAGGTAACCACATTAGTAAAGTATATCTTTTCTTCTAGGCTACCATTTAGTGTCAACTCAGAAAAATCTGTAACCAGAAAAACAATGAGATCAGAAATGCTTAACACCCGTCTGGCATTTCTATCATGTATAATGCTGAATTTTATCACAGGTACAATAATCAACTAGGAGCTTTGGTAGGGCAGTGCCTAAGGCACTTGACTGCTAACCAGAAGGCTGGAGGTTCAAATCTACCAGCCACTCCTAGGAAGGAAGGTTAGGCAACCTACTTCCGTAGTGATATCTCCTGAGAAACCCAAGGAGGGGTCTCTATGAGTCAGGGCTGACTCAACAGCACATAACAACAACAACACAATAATCAACTGGTAGTTTGAATGACAAGTGTCTTCTATTTTAAGAGAACACTTTAGATAAAACTCAATGAGGACAAGTCCTTGAAATACCAAATTATGATGTCTTTAAAACAGAATTAAACAAACTAAAATATGAAAAAGGAGTTCTGGTAGCATAGTGGCTAAGACACTTGCCTGCTAACCAGACGGCTGGTGGTTCAAACCCACCAGCCGCTCCTCGGAAGGAAGGTTGGGCAATCCTACTTCTGTAGTGATACTGCCTCGGAAACCCAAGGAGGGGTCGCTATGAGTCGGGTTTGACTTGACGGCACATAACAACAACAACAACAAAATATGAAAGTGATATTTTAAAATTATGTATTTTAAATTTAAGAACCAACTGCTTTTTTTTTTTTTTTTATCACATCAACAAGGATTAAACAACTGTTTTTTTTCCTATCTTACCATCTATTTCAGAAAAGAATTTCTACTTAGGATTTGTAGTCTTAGGACTAGACACATATCCTTTTATTTTTTTTTCCTCCCAAAGACTGATTGTTGTATTTCAAAAATAAATGGTCCAATTAACATTTAGATAGGATTATGACCCTTGTGGGTCAACATTTTGGTTTCCATATTCTCACCATTAGCAACAATCATTTACTGGGCACCCACTGGGTGAACAACACTCTACTAGACACTGTTTTTCTCCCCCATTAAGTTCAAATCATTACTCTCTCTTCCCAAAGCAGCTGAAAGTGTACTTTTTTCTCTTAAGTCTTCCTGCTTTTGATGTTAACAGTTTTACTCAGGAGTATCACTCTACTGGATATCTTGAAAAGCAAGCATTTGACCTGAGTGCTCAGTCCAATGAAATACAAAATCTAACTTCTTAAATGCATGTGATCTTTGGCAAAAATAAATCATTAGACATTTACAACTGGGGCTCTGTAAGAACAGCCCTTGACTTTCATAAAGGAGATCCTCCTTAAAGAAGTGAATCTTGCTTCAAGCCAAAGGTCACTGAATAATTTCTAGATAATACATCAAAACTACATAATGGGTAGAAGAGGTTATAAAGTTCAAGCCAAAATGGAATTTGAGTGCATTTTTAAGCACATAAACATATAATTTCATAAAAATCCCTTATTTCATAAAAGGAGTCACTGGACCAATGCTTTAGCAATTTTTGTTGTTAGGTTCATTCTAACATCCAAAATAACTCACTTTTTTTTTTTTTTTGAAGCAGCCTGCATCAAAAAGACTACAGAAGATATGCTCAGTTAATACTTATTTATTCAGCATCCCTGGAAAAGGCTGTTTCCTCTTGCTTAATTTCCTCATAACAGAATCTTTATGTAATAAATTTTAAAACTTTTTAGATTAGCATTTTCAAAAGACATATCACAATACTCATGCCTTTAAAACAACTTTCTTTTTACTCATAAAAGTAATATGTCTTTTTTAACTGAAACAATAGATGTAAATAAAATGTTTAAGTTGGTGGTTTTCAACCTTAGTTACACATTGGAATTACCCAAGGAACTTTAAAAATTATTGATGTTCAGGCTCTATGCCTCCAGAGATTTTGATTTACTTAGTCTAGATATTAGGATTCCCAGAGGATTCTAATGTTTAACTAAGGCTAAGAACCAACCCACTCCCCTATCCCACTCCTCAGGATAAGTTTAGCTGTATCCTTCTAGATCTTTTTCTGTGCTCCAGTCTCAGTTTGTTCCATTCTTTTGCTACTGTGAACAATACTGGATTAATCTTGTTCATGGAGTGTTCTGCACATGTCTGGTTATATATGTAGAGTAAGTTACAATTAATGGAACTGCCAGGCAGACAATGTGCTCCGTTTAAGTCTGGTGAATATGGTCCTCTATAGAAGCTGTACCACTTTACACTCCAACCAGCAATGTGAACAGACTGACTGCCAATCCCCCATGCCCTTGCCAGCAATGTGACACTAACTTTTGATCTTTGCTAATCTAATAAGTGAAAGGTGGTATCTATATAACATAAATGTGCATTTCTATTATAGGTGAGGTCGAGCATCTTTTATTTTAAGATGCTATTTGAATTTCCTTCTTGGTAAACTGGTCCAGATTACTTGCCCATTTTCCTACTGAGTTATTAATATATTTCTTACTAATTTAAAAGTTCTTTATATAGTAGGGAATGTGGTCCCATTTCTGAACATGAACAGCACATTTCTTCTCTTAGTTTATACTTGACCGTTGTTTTGTCTCTGATTTTTTTTTTTTTTTTTTGACAGGTAGAAATTTTTCTATTTTCATAAAGTCAGTTTTCAATCTTTTGTGGTTCCAGGTTTTATGCCACACTTGGAAAAGGCATAGCTCTCAGGAAAGTTCCTTCAGTTTCTTTGGGACTTTTGCAGTTCAGCCATATGAATAGAGCCTCTAATTGAGAGACATTTTATAACACCTGAATCAAAATATATTTTGGGGGAAAGAATAAACATTTTCTAGAAATAATTTTGTAAAGGTATCAATCAATAAAACAGAACTCTTTGCATTACCAGCAGCAGTTGATTATAGGCCATGGAAATCTTGGATTCTGTCTGAAAAGCATCAGATTTCTTTTTAGATAATCTTTGCAATATTTGAATGTAGCTATTTAAGACTTATGTGAGTAAGAGACAATAGCACCATCCAATCCATATGCAGCAAGGTAACAGTTTTATAGGTATTTACTGAAGGAGGAAGAATTGGTGGGCCAGCTAATTATCTTTAATAGAATACTAGAAATCTCAATACTTATTCCAGCCACAGAGAAGACACTAGGGCAGAAACATCACTATCACTGTTTTAAACAGTACACAAAAGTATAAAGCATGAGTTGGCATTTTATCTTACAATCTATTTTCACTCCTTTGTTCCTATCATTTGACTTCTTTCAATAAAAGTTCCCCTATCCAGGACAATGAGAAAATGCACTCTTTCATGATTATTTTACATTGAATTTTGGGGGGGCATTAAACCTGTATAAAACTCATGACAGAATAAATATATTCTACACCTGGAGTATAGGAGAAATCTTTTAAAACTGGGTACAACCTGTGGGCTTTTCTACCACATACAATGCTAAATTTTATAACAGCTAAAATAATAGTTTGGTATATTTTCTATTGGAATAATTTATCTGAATAGATTTAAAAACCATCATTACCATGTTTGTGAAAATTCAGATGGTCTACTGGTGGGCTATCACTCAGTTGCCAAACTGTTTTAACCTTCTTTTGACCACTGTTTATTTCTACTCTCCATTTCTGTGGCTTCTCACTAAGGAAGGAAAAAACATCAAAGGGAAAAACATTTATTTACTTTCTTCCTTCTACAGGCATTTAGTGACAAGCACTGAAAAAGAAGAGAAGTCACAATTTCCACCCTCAAGAAGTACAGTCAAGAGAGGGAGAAAAATAAGAATACAAATGATAACATTTCCATGAAGGGGAGAAAAATAGCTACAAGAGAGAAATACAGGATGCACTAAAGCACAACAGAAGAGGGGTTTCTAACTCAGATTGAGGGTTCTAGAGTTAGAAAAACTCCTCAGAGATCATGGCATTTGAGCTGTGTACGAAGTGTCAAGGAGGAGTCAGTTAAGCAGACAAGATGGGGAAAAGTAGCTGAGGATGAAAGAACAACATGTGCTTAGGCACTGAGGGATAACAGAGAGTGGAGCACCTGCAGAAATGCAGTTACACAGAACAGGAGGGGGCAGACATAATGGCTCACGGGGCCAGAAAGAAGGCAATGCCCAGGCCAGAAGGAAACCTCACAGACCCTGCTAAGACACCAGAACACTGCTCTAGAGACAACAGGAGCCATTGAAAGCTTTTAAACAGACTGATGTCATGGTGGGATTTGAATTTTAGGAAGATTACTTTGGTAGTGACATAGAAAAGGAAGATCATGGAGGGGCAGAGCAGTTAGAAAAAAAGGGTTTTACCACAGTCCATGTATGAAACGATACAGTAAAGCAATGGCAATATGAAGATGTAGAGAAGGAGACAGATTCAAGGGCTACCAGGAAGGTCAGGAGGTGGTAACCATTTAAAAGAGGGAATGAGGGACCACAAAGATGGAGGATAAATATTATGTTTCCATCTTGGGCATCAGGTGGAGAGTAATAATGGTCACTTGAGAAGAAATATAGGAGGAGAAAAGAGTGTTAGGAAGAGGATGAAGGATTTGGTTTTAGGGTTTGGAATGTCTACAAGATACTGAAGCTGGGGCTTCACATTTAGAAACAGAAGCAGCTGGAGATAGGGATTTTGAGTCATCATCAGCACAGAAGAATTGAAACCCTCAGTATAATGCCATCACCCAGAGAGGATAGAAAGTAAGAAGAAAAGAGGGCAGAGGGTGGAGTTCATGTGAAAACTGACATACAGGAAGCAGGCAGAGGAAGAACTTAAAAAGAGAACTATTCTTCATCTTGGAAGAAGGCTAGAAAGGTAGAATTAAAATTAAGGCACAATCTATGTCACAGAATATAAGAAAGGAAATGGATTCAAAAAGGCAATAATGCTAAATGATAAAAGTTAAGCAAGAGGGGGAAGGAAGTACCCAATGGATTTGGCAATTAGAAGGCCATTGGTGACTTTTGCCGGAGCAATTTTAGTATTTGTCTAAAAAGGAACTAAATAAAGGGAGGGTAAAAATAGAATGGCTTTACTATTAAACAAATTTCAAGTATTTTTATATGCTGAAGGAAGAGTCAGGGGAGACTATCATCAGAGGCCACCTCTGTCTTTGTGTGGATGACTGACCTGTCATCTCAGCCTCATGGTTCAGACTTCCTCCAACCCCAATCCCTTCACTCACTCCCAGGGGCATACTACCCTACTCATTTTTTCTCCCAGTCTGCCCTTTGTCTTCTGGCTATCTGTTCAGCTAGAAGGAATTATAAACTGAGAGAAAAATAAAGACAAGAAGCCCAATGGTCTAAAAGAAGGTAGACAAAGGTCTGGGTGATGGAAGAGAGAGAACTAGACATGACCGTGGTCAGAGAGGATACGGATGACTGAGTTTTCAAAGGTGAAGCAGCTCTGTGTCATGAGGTCCCATGAAATATGGATCCTGAGATTGCCCAGAGCATGGCTAGACTTAAGGCAGGATTTAATTATTAAACTACTTACCTATGATATAAATTTTTCATAGCAATTGGTCTCACTGGCTGCTGAAAAATGTGTTGCTCATTAAGGGGATTTTGTTTATAATATTTTATACAAGATCTGAAAACATAATAAAAATATAAATGCTTAGAAAAGAGTGCCATTTGGAGATAAAGGCTCTCTGGTAGTCAAAAGCTCATACAGAAAACATTTTATTGAGTACCATTAACAACGTCAACATTATTTCAGGACCACAAAAGTTTAAAAAAATAAAACTCACAAAACTTAGGTTATTATTTTTTTTCTCATTCACTTTAAAAAAAACTAATAGTAGATATATTTCTCATAAACATATTTGAGTCCAAATAAAGGGTTAAGTGAAGAGAAAGAAGTGTTAGAAAGGGAAAAATAAAAAGTGGCAAAAGAGAGACAAAGACACAGCCTCCATATTTTTCAGAGTCTGGGGGGTAACTCATTTACTCTTTAATGAAAAAATCCTTTACAAGTGAGGTAAATTCTAATTTTGGAAAAAAAGCAATGGTACATTTCTCCCATAGTGAAAAAATAACCCAGTCCTTCTACTAGATGGTTCACTTATTTCCGTTTGAGCCCCAGAATACACATGTGACATCATCAGTTCATACACGAAGATTATTCCAAGTTGTTTTTAGTCAAAATGATTGGAAGGATCTCTAAAATTATAGCAATGCTGCTGACAGAGATTTGGTAATAACATTTGAGTGTATTCAGTCACCACATAGATGGCTGGCAGTGATTAGTTGGGCCCAACTAATAAATAGTTTATTATTTATTTACTTAAGGAAACCCAAAGGAGGTCTTTATGAGTTGCAATTGATTCCATGGCAGTGAGTTTGGTTTTTTTAAGTGCCAAGTACTTTACACATATTATATCATTTAATCGTCACTACAAATACATGAGGTTAGAGGTTATTAGATCCTTTTTATACATAAGGAAACAAGATTCAGTGAAAGGAAACTTGCTAAAGGAAGATAGAGTAATAGAGTCAAGGGTAAAATCTGATTTCTTCTGAATTCAAAACCTTTGCTTCCTATGACATTGACTTAGAACCACTCTACTACTACAAAGACAGAGTGCACAGGTTCTATTCCAACAAATAAAAAAAAACTATACACATTTTGGCTGCAACTATTTCAAATGAGAATACATTTTCTATGTAACTAAATGACAGGGATATACTTACTGTGTTAAAGAGAAGAGGAGTTCATGTTGAGGCTTAATGAAAAGCATGCAACTGACTATTATTTCCAGAATATGGTGGAGTTTTTGGACACGATACACTTGTTCTTGTATATCTATTGATGAAGAAATGAAGTATTCCTGTAATGAAAAATGTATAAGCAAAATAAGGAGTTAACGGACAAGTGGAATCTTTGGAAAGAATATAGCTACACACACTAAACCTAAGTTTAGATGCTTATAATTGGGGGGGGTCGGAGAGACAGGAGGCAGCAAGACAGAATTTGTTACCTTTCAATACTATTATTCGAATTAATCTATAAGGAAAATCTTGACTGAGAATGTTCATAAGAAACCATTATACATGTTCCCTGGCAAAGGCAAATCTCAGAACAGTTTCAATGATGAAGCCAAAGTGGTTAACTTTGGCTTCCCCACCAAACTCTCCAGAAGGAATGAATGGGAAATCTACAAGACAATTCTTAACTTCAATATACTTACTTGGCTGATGAAAGTATCCACCTCTAAAAATAGTAAATCCAAAATACTGAGAAATTAAGCAAGTGTATTCATAAGCTTCTACTCACATACATTACTGGTAAACTGTGGCAGCTCTTTGGAAAAGTAATTTGGCAATGTATGCTCATAAAAATGCTCAAACCTTCTAATCCTATTTCTGAGAACCCATCCTAAGGAAACAATCCATGATAAGTGACGTAGGTGGAATTCTAAGATGATCCCCAAAATTCCAGCCCCCTGGAATACACACCTTGTATAATCCATTTCTATTGAGTAAGGCCAGAACCTGTGCATACAATGGGATTATCACTCCCATGATCAAGTTACTAATCAACTGAGTTTGAATTAAATGAAAATCGATACTATCCTGAGTGGGTCTGACTAATCAGATGAGCCTTCTAAAAGAAAGCAAAGCATTAGAGATGTTCTCCTGCTGGCTTTGAAAAAATAAACTGCTGTGCTGTGAACAAGGCCACATGGCAATGACCTGAGAGTGACTTCCAGAAGCTGAAATTGGTTCTAGCAAGAAAACAAGGACCTAAGGGCCACAAGAAAATGAACTCTGCCAACAAATGAGGGGGTCTAGAAGCAGATCTTTCTCTAGTCAAGCCTCCAGATGTGGACACAGCCTGCCGACCCTTAATTTCAGACATATGAAACCTGAGCACAGGGCCTAGCTACAACATGCCAAACTCCTGACCCCTGGTAACCAAGAAAAAATAAATTTGAATTCTCTTAAGGCATTACGTTTGTGATGATTTGTTATGCATCAGTAAAAAACTAATACAGTAAGAGAAAAGGTATGGTTCGATCTTAATTAACTAGGGGTGAGAGAAAGGGGGTAGAAGAGATTCATAGATAATCCTACTATCAGAGTTTAAAGGAAGCCAGGTAAAATGTTATAAAAATTTAATGCACATACAGTTCTAATTAAATCCAAACTATGGGGACACATTTAATGTTTTATAAAGGTGTTGTTTTAAGCCACTAAGTGTGTGGTAATTTGTTATGGCAGCAATAGACTAATACACCTGTAAAACACCTGCATGAGAATCACTTGGAATAAAAGCTAGTTCTCTAAAAAAAAAGGTATGTTGAATCATGAGGGTCCAGGAATCAGCACTTTAACAGGTCCTCCAGATAATTCTCAAAGTTTCAGAGGGACTACTGTATTTAGCGCTTGGGAGTCAAACCATACGAAAAAACAGACAGACACATGAAATGACTTGAGGGGAGTTCGTAAAAATAAGAGTACTTATATCTGAGATATCCATATGAGATTTTGGGTGTGAGTATTCTACATTCCAACTTTTTCTTTTCCTAATGGTTGTGATCTTTTGGAGGTAGATCAACAGGCTTTTCTTCCAAGTGCCTCTGGGAGGATCTGAACCATAAACCTTTCAGTTAGTAGCCAAATGCTTAACTGTCTGCATCACTTAGGAATTCCTTAAATTCTGATTTTTGAAAATATTATTACTTTCCTAAGTTTTAAAAGGTGCTCTGGTAGTGTAGTGCCTAAGGTACTTGACTGCTAACCAGAAGGCTGGCAGTTCAAACCTACCAGCCACTCCTCGGAAGGAAGGTTGGGCAATCTACTTCCGTAGTGATACCACCTCGGAAAC